TTATAAAATGTGCCATGGTGTGATATCAGGTCCTCATTTTAAAGGATGAACTTTTAAGTGATTTGGGATGACACCATGTTGCCAATATTAAGTACTAATATTGAAATGGGCTTTGTTCTTTTGAGTTATATTCTTAACTTTCAAAGGATAGAATTTGGGCCAGGGATGTGTAGATACCGATTTTTTGCTTGGCTCTTCGGAAACAGAAGGAGTCATTGTCTTTTTTGCTGTAATTTTGTAATGCTTTGTCCTCCTTCATTTGCTACTGAAACCTATTGCTTTTGAAATAGGAAAAAAAACCCCACCAATCTATCAAACTTTCTATAAGAAGAGAGAACTATTGTTCTTCCCAGTTCCTAACTTAGGAAAAAAGAGCAATGAGATCAAAATCCTAGTATCTCTTAACACTTGGGTTTTTTTCCCTCTGTCCTGACTGTGCAACCAGACTATGTTTAATCAAACTTTAATGAGCTGTCCCATGTCTTCTAACATTTAATATCATCTATGGGCCCATGAAACGTCTTAGAATCATGGGACTACGTGAATTTATTTTCTTTTCTTTCTAAGCTGCCTAGCCATTTTAGCCCAGCTGTATGTCTTGCATTACGAACTCATCCACCAGAAGTCTCTAATGGTTTTGAATAGGGACCTAGATCTACATGGAGCTTTTGTTAAAAGGGTTTGGATATTTTTTAATGACATCTGATTTGCTAGCAAAAATGTCAAGCACATAATTGCCATTTCAGAGTTTCATAAATCTGAATCAATTAGTAAAAAGAACCCCTTGACCTCATGTCCGTGAGCCTTCATGGTCATTCAGTCTAAGTGCTAAGGAGCTATTGGCACATGATATTCAAACTGAACGATCCTTTTGTTCAATCCCGTCAGAGATTTCTCAGAGCAAGGCTAAATGCAGCTCCCTTTGAATTTAAAACCTTGCTAAATTATTTAGTACTACATACCACAGACTGATTAAATTTTGCACAGAGTAGTGAGATTGTTTCCCAGGTAGGTCATCACTCAGTTCAGTTTACCACTTAAAATTTCTTTCATTCTCAGTCAAAATACAGCAAGGGCCATCCATCATTATCACTTTGTCCTTTAATTTTTCTGTCAGCCTTTGTCAAGCTTGAAACAAAAGCCTTTACATTTTTATCAACTGCAGCTATTGTTGTCTGAATTGTGCTCAGTCATTTCAGAATATCGGTTGTGTTTTTACCAAGCAAGTCAAATATTTTCAATAGGTCAGATCTATCTTTCACATAAGCCCGCTAAACCAAACAGAACCATTGCTCATTTCTTTGGAAATGGAGAGTAAAAATGCTTAGGGCCAAATCGGCAGTGAGAGTAAATTGTCCCGGCTCCCTGCACTTAAATGGATGAATGTCTTCTGCCTCAGTAAGAAGAATGAGGCGTCAATTCGAGAAAGGAGAGGCGAGCAGGAAATTTTGATCAGGCAGGGCTTGCCAGTGCTTTGAGCCGATCTTGTACAATGCTATTCTGCCACTCATAAACAGTCTACTTCTGTGCCTGTGCTAAAGAGCAGCCTCCAGACCAGCCACGCGTTGCATGCCCCTCCTTTTTCCGCTGCCTGCTTGCAATCAGCCATCAGATTACCTGCTGTCTGCCTTCGCCTTGCCAGTGATCGTGTAGCTCAATGGCATGCTAACAGACAGTAATGGCCATGAAGAACGCCTTTCTAAAACCTTCCCCATACTTTTCTCTGCATCCACTGAACTGTGACATTACGTCAGGTCCTCAGTGAAAAGAGAGTTCTTGGCTGAGCATTTGCATCTCAGCTCAAACCCATCTCTGCCGCTAGAGTGTGGTTAGGAGCCCATCTCTTTCATTGAAAATCCAGTTCAGGTCTTACCTGTATAACCTGTGGGAACATATGTGAAAAAGAGTTGGGACTAGAGTCAGTAAATCCCCTCTGCATGAAGTCTAACCCCTTTTCAATTTCCAACAACTTTTATGGGAACAATTAGTTCTCTGTGAATTGTTTGTATTTCAGAGGTAGCAAGGTGATGAAATGAATACCAACTTAAATACATTATTGAATTTTTGACTGAATATCTGTCTGTCAACAAACATTCATTTTAGGAGTGAGGTTTCAGAATTAATGGTGACAATTACTGCTTGACTTCTAGATCTCTGAACATGGCTTTTCTATTTTCTCTGGTTCCCCATCTGCAAAATATAGCTATTTTCTGCTTCACAGGAGGCTAAGGATTAATACCTTAGTATTACTGAAGTAGCGATCTGGTGCATTGATTTGGGTATGTCTCCTTGAATTGAAAAGTTCCACTCTACAAGGTCTCTTGGTCATAATGATCCTCGGGTATGAACCCGGCATTTCTAGAGTCCAGAGCAGACTTAGATTTCATTGATTGGGCAATGCAGTGCTCTTCAGGCTGCTAATTCCTGGTTGCTATCTTGTACTGTAGTCTTTGAGAGCAAGTAATTGTAATGCTGTGAGCAAAGCAGACCAACTGCAGTCATTTGCATGGTGAATTTCACCTTACTCTGCTAAGAGCGAAACAAAGCCAATGCTATTGCTTGTATTTGCGTTTCTTTTGAGAACACGTTTTTCTTTGAGGCTTCTGACAAGCTGCCATTTTGATGTTTGGCATCAGAGTTTGTGACTTTGATCAGGAAACTAATTTCTGCACAAGTTTTCATTATTCTTGATCTGATCAGAAAAGATGAATCAATCACATCTGTATTAAAACACTGATATATCCTAGTTCTTGTTAACTAGTCTGTTTCCTAGGTAGCCTTTCTTTTAACATAAGAAATCTTGTTGGAAATACTTCAGTCAGAAGAGAAACCAGAAAGCAATGAACTAAATTCACCAGTGACTCATTTAAGCTATTATGTGGTAAAATAGGTAGACAGTGTGTTTGCAGAATGGAAAGCACTGTCATAAAACCGTAACTGTATTTGCCAGTTGCAGTTAACTTGCCATTGCATAGTCTTAAGTAAATGGCATATTTTAGAAAGATAATTAATGGAACCATAAGTCACACTAATTAGGTTTTACATACAAGAGTGATTTGTAAAGCTTTCCTAATAAACAAGGCTTTGCTTTCCTTAAGAAGTAGGTAGTTTTTTTTCTGTTTGATTTCATTTTTAGCAGATACTTATCAGGGAAGGAGTTTCCCTTTATGAGAAGCAATTGCATAGATCAGTACATGTGACATGTATCTTTTTAACATGTTAATTTATGTCTAATGCTTGTTATACTCAGTTCTGTTTAATTATTGTGGTACTCACACTCCAGGTAATGTTACCATTTTTCCTGGTGATTAATGTGGCTACACTGTGGGGTTTTTTAAAGGCCTGTTTTAATTTTTCTGTCTTGGGAATATTTTGTACTGAGAAACAGATTAAATATCAGTGTACAACAGATGAAAGAGGGATCTCATGCCATTTTCTGATGGCCTCGAAAGTGGAAAATCCCACAAATACAGATTCCAGAGAGAATAGTGCTGGTGTTTATCAAAACCAAAGGAATACAGAAAATTGTAGGTGACTCATAGATGTTAACTGACAAGGAGACTTTTAAAGTGGCAAAATAATCTGTTATCCAGTATGAAAATAAGGTAAGCATGCTAATTTGAAGTCTTAGGAGAGTAATTATGCAATGCTGAACTCAAGGACCCTGTGTCTGAAATGTGTTCTGTAGGGCCCAATACTGTAAAGCTCTGAGCTACTTCAGCTTCCGTTGATTTCAGTCAGAATTGATGGTACTCAGAGACCAATTGCATTTCTTTCCACGGCAAGGGAAGACAGATCGTGGGTCAGATTTTTACTCCTTTATTGCATTGAATAGCACCCTTCAGAAATATTTTCACTGAAATCAGTGTGGAATGGGTTACTTACCATCAACTGCTGAGAAAGTACTCCTTTCATTTTAAACCCGCGGTATAAATAATCTGAAAAATGTGAGAAGCTTTTTATGCCCTCACGGAAGTGCTTTTCTCTAGTTCTCTTCAGGGCTTTTGTTTGTTTGTTCTTTAAGATCTGCAATCACCTTATAAGCAAAGTGATATTGGTCTTTATTGCTTTTGGCAGTGTAATCAAAGTATTTTCTATCTGTACATCTGGTTATGTTCTACTCTGTACTGGAGCATTTTGCAACAGAAGTTGTTGGTTCCTCTGCAACGAAGCAGCGGCACACCTAAGCCTGGCATACCTGCACTTACTTGATGAAAAGCTGAAGGGTTTTGTAGGATGCTGTCATCAGGGCTATGCATTTTTCCTGACTTGTATACACAGGGTTTTTAAAGTAATATTATTAACATTTCTGATTTTTAGTCCTAAGCTGTTTTAGACAAATACTGATGTGTGTATTAACAATTAATTTTAAGTGTTAAGGATGACTGAAAGATGACTGTGCCTGCTAATTAGGGTAAAGATTTTGAAATATACTCTGCTCTGGATCTTAGCAGACAACTGTGTCTTAAACAAATGTGTGGGAAGAAGAAAAGCAATCTGGAAAAAGCAGCTTTTATAGTTAGTAGCATTTTCTCCCCTTTTTCCTTCCATTGAGTCTGTCTGAAAGTGGGTGTTTTAACATACAGCCATTTCTCGTTAACATGTGTGTGTTTATTTTAGCATGATGGTGTTGTTTTTTTCATCTCCCACTCTGACACAGCATGTTTCATCCGTATATGGTTTCTACAATATGAGACATTTAAAATGGCTCAATGAAGAAATGGATTCTTGTCACTTAAACAGTCACTCTCCAGATCTGTGGAAACTTGGTCATTTTAACAATGTTTTAAATTCCGTATTCTTGAAGATTGACTATAAAAATTGAGAGTGATATAATGTCAAGAATTTAAAGGTACTCTTGTACCTGTAATAATTTATGTTAATCATGTTTTAATTTAGTCATTTTCAACATACTTGTATTTACAAATTAAACCACTATTATGGTTCTCCTTTGTTTGCATGATATGATTTTATTTTATATTTTTTTTTCCACTCACCAGATGTTTTCAACACTTTGCTTCCCACTACTGTCATCCCCTCCCTTACCACTGCAACAGTCACAACCACTGTAGCCTTAACAACCAGCACAACCACATCGGCAACAGCCATCAGCACCAGAGGTACAGTATGCTTCTTTGTTATGGCCTGAAAAACACATTATAAATAGGAAATTATAGGTTTGATTTTTAAGAAGGGTAGGAATTGATCAAGAGAGGGTTCAAACACTTTAGTTCGATATATATATTTAATAGAATAATCCACAGGATGGTACATGGTTAAGAAAGATTTTGTATGACCTTGAATATTTTCATTGCTCTAGCAGCGTGTATGTGAACTTTGACAGGATGCTTAAATTATTTGTATACATTTGCATTTAATTTTTTTAAGGTTAGTAAATTAACTTTAATGTAAAATGCAAGCAAGCTATTTTTAAATAAACATGACCTTTTAAGACTGGTTATTTTGGGTGCCAATGTTTAAAACAAGCTGGGTGTCTCGGCATTGGAATTACTGTTGATGCAATCTTGCTTGATAACAAAGAGGCATCGCATTACATCACCCTTGTTAGTCTTTTACAATTTAAGGTATTCCTAACTTAGGGGTGTCTTTATCTTACCAGAACTAGAGTAAATGAGCTGGAATTTCTCTCTCCCCTCACTACCCCCCATCCTGTTGGGTTTTTGTCTGTTATAGCTTTTTAAATGTTTCTAGTAATGCTTTGCTTTGTTATGAACAAAATATAAAGTTTAATTTTACTGTTGTATTCAGTGACTGATCAGATAACTGTTCAATAGCGAAGATGTGTGTGTAAGGTTTCACAGATTATCATCTTCTGGGTAGCTAGTAATATCTCACGGTGCGTAAAATGGCAGAAGGTTCCTATGTGGTCTGTTGAAGGCTTTCATTGTGCAAGGAGAGAGGAAATAATATTAACTTACCACACTGCAAGTATTCACATGATGAGGTATAATTATCCCAGGAAAGTTAAGACAGAGTTATGAAATCTTTTCTTTCTGGAAGCGTTGTTGCGAGTCAGTTGTAGTGACCTGCCTAACTTGCAAGAATAAGCTGAGCTAAATGCAAGTCCATTGTATAAAGATTGTGATAGTATCAGATCACACAACTTCTTCTTCCATAGGGCATTGGTATTTTAATATTGTGGCCTTCATGTAATAAACTGATATCAAACCTGAAATTACTTTTTAAAGCTTTAATATTACTTATAGTGTGAAAAAAAATTGTTGTTTTAGTGAAAAAGAGAAAGAGCATTATAGTAGTCCTTTCCCTCCAGAAATAAAGGATAGACCATGGAAAACAGTCCAATGCTCACAGGTCTGAGTAGTTGCAAGAGGAACATTGCCTGAAAAGGAACAGAATGACAGGAACGATCATGTCTTTATAAGAGTGTTTTGAGTCAAGCAGCAGAAGCTTCCCAGCTTTCTGAGGGTTTGGATACTGGAAGGACAAAGTGCTTGTTGTGCCATGTTGGTGTTTGCTGTCCTTAACAAATTGTTTTCTTCTTCTTGTTCTGTGGTCATAACTAAACTATGTCGCTGTTGTGATTGTATGTTTAGTGTACCGATGTTATTAAGGCATTGCGTTACCTCCTAAGTGTGGTTTAGGACCTCATTTTCCTTTACTCTGAAGTGTTCATTTTCACCATTTGTGTGCCCGGCATCAAGAGAAAGATCTGGAAAAGGAGAACCCTCTTCTAAGCTTCAGCTCTAACACGTATAAGAATGCATGTAATTTGATGCTACGGTAACAAAGATACACTGCTTTAAGAGAAAGTAAAAGAAGGAAATCTGGGTGAAGGTGATCAGTCACTAAAACATGAGCACTCACTTTTCCCAGAAAAAGAAATGGCTGAGAAGATGAGACCACTTCAACCTCAAGGAACTGGTAGATATGGTCTCTTGGGCAGACAATCTAAGAGACAAAGGAGTGCAGGAAGACTGTTTCTTGAAAAGCTTGTATTGAAATAAAAATGGCAGTATATCCCAGTGCATAGGAAAAATAGGACACATGTAATAGACTAATGAAGTTGTCTATCTAACAATCTGAGAAATCAAAACCCACAGAAATATGAAAACAAGAGAAGATTACTATAAGCATAAGTCATAGAGTATATCAGTGTGGAAGAAACAGGAAACCAGGCATAAAATTAGAAACAACCAGATGCAAAAGTAATGGCAACTAGCAAGGTGTGAGAAATTTAACAAAACAAAAGGGTTTAGAAATACATTAGATTAAAGACAAAAATAGACAAAAATAAAGAAATGTAGTGATCCTATTCATGAATGATTAGGACAAGGCTGAAGTAATTGGTGTTTTATCAGCAATGGATGACAACTGGAGTGCTGTTTCTAATAGGGGTGTCGCGCTGAAAGATGACCACAATAGAGACAGATCAAAGAACACGGACAGGAAGTTTAAAGATACGCTCTGTGGGGATGCTGAAGGCACCAGTTTGTTTGGTTTTGCTTTCAAAAAAGAAAAGTCAGTATGACTCTGAAGAAGAGTTATTTTCCAAGTTCAATGGGGAAAACAAATCCACTGAATTAGTGCAAAGGCATTTAATGGGGAAACTTTCTAAGTGCACAGGAGGCAGTGATGCAGTGTGTCTATTGAAGTTCTATGACTTCATCCTTGCTTTCTTTAAAAATGCTTGATTCCCGTGGCAGAGGGAAATGGACAAGATGCTCTCCTTAGGTCTCTTCCTCTCCTATCTTTCTTGGACCCATAAACAATTAATGTTCACAAAGTTACAGTGAATGTTGTGAAGGCAGAGTACTGCCATCCTGAAATACTAGACTGAACCTTATCTAGATTGTCAGAGCACCTACACACCAGAGGTACAAGCAGCATAAGAGCCATTTTGGAGAGGATCAGATTTTCAGTAGTATCTGTTTCTGGCTGAGCAAAAAGTACCATATAAACATATTTTCCTTTGACACTTCTGCTTCTTATTCCAATAAGATTTTTGACATGAAGGAGTATATAAGGACATAAAGTTGAGAAGCTATTCATATATTTTCAACCTTCAAAACAATTTTTTTTGTTGTGTTTTGGCTTCCAGGTATGTTGGAAACAGGATTTCTTTTTATGTTACTTTACTGGATCTTGTTTGATCATGCCTTAAAGAAACAGAAGTTTGCCCCAGATCATAGGGTAGTACATACTAATTAATAATATCCTTGAACTGGATTTCCAGTAGCTGACATAATAGTCTTGCTGGATGAATTTCACTAATTCTATTCTAAAATTATGACTTGAAACTTATGAATCACCTCAGGTAAATTTTACAAGACATTCCGGTATTCTGCATGACTTTTACACAGTGCACCTTGAGGATATGTTACTCCACATCCAGTCACAGGAGATGTCTTTACAGGAATATGAATCAGGATAGAAAGAGCCCAGAAAGTCTGTAAATCTAAGGCATTTTACATTACGATGATTGTACCTCATCATTACCAAAAGCCTGAATTAATGGGAAAAAAAAAATTCTCCAAACCATCATCAGTTAATTCTGGAACTGTGTGACCCATCTCTGTCTTAATTTGCATGGCATTTAGTAAACAACATGAAAAAAGTTACTGATCCAGTTGGATGACAACATTATAATTCATAAACATCCTCTTTAGTCAAACTTTTCACTTTCTCAGACAAATGTATGCTTGCTTTTGTGCTCGGTCCTTCAGGAATTAATTATTCTTTTACTGGTACATTACCTACTAACTCGAAAAATCTAAACACAGTTTGATGCCAGTGAAGAGTATTGCCCTTTATATATTTGTCAAGGGTATCTTAAAGCCTAATAACCATGATGAGGAATGTACGACAAAATGAGAATAAAATGTATGAGAAGAAACAATTCTAGAGGACTACAGAAAGAATAATTATACACTGTATGAGTAGTTTCCTTTCTATCAGATTTATGTAATGTTATTTGTGAAAGCTGTGCATGGATCCATGCGAGTGTTCCCTTTTGTGACTGGGAAGAGGCACAAGAGGATTGTGGATTTGCCCCCAGCAGTGAAACAAGGGATGCCTCCCTTGGAGAAATTCTTTGTTAGCATAAAGTTAATTTAGATGGTTCTGTGCCAATCCTTCAAAGTCCTGTAGATGGAGAGGGAGTGTGATTAACAGTCTAGGAGAAGCCACCTCAAGTCAGAACAGCTCTGCGTTTCTGGATTCACAGAGGAGAAAAGCTTGTGCACACAGACGTACATATAACCCTCCCACAGGCTGGCATTATGTTAATCTCACACACACACACACACGCTCTCACACACTGCGATTTTTTAAATTTAAATCCTTTTCCTGTCAAGAAAAAAACAGTCAAAGAGGTTATAAAACTTGTTAATTTTGACTTATTACTGAAGATTGAAATCTTACCACCACCCCCTAAATAGGTACAAAATTAACATTGCAAGAACATCCCAAACTCAAAACATAGATCCATTCAGTTCAATTGCACGTATCAGGGTGATTCAGTCTCAGCTGACTCACTTGTATAATGACTGTGCCAGAATGTTCAAAGCTTTATATAGCAACGCCTAAAAACATCTCCAAAAGTCATTGTGTATAGCAGAGATATGATGCTGCTCCCAGGCAGCTGCACTATGAAGTTCAAGAGCATATTTAATAGTCAGGGCGACCACAAAGCCAATGAATGTACACATTTATATATGAATGAAATCCCTGCTTTATTATAGTCCACTTTGCTTTTAGTGTTTTTGGCTCTGCTATAAAAGAAAGATTTCTTAAAGGAGATCCGTGGAACTAAATCTAGAAGAAGAGTTTACAAGTGGGAGTAAGGAAGGGTTTGAGGATGTGATCATTTTGAAAACTATTGTGAATTTAAGTGTGAATATTTCTATTTAATAGCATAAATTTCTACCATCGTAGCTAAAAAATTACATTACTTTCTTTTTCTCCCATTTTTACCTTGGAGTCTGGGGGGGCGGGGCGGAGGAAAAGACTAGAATACCTGTTTCATTATAGGCAGTTTAAATGCAGAAACTACTTGGACAGTACTTGTAGTCCTCAGGTTTTTCGGTATCAAAAAAATGTTAAGCATTACCAGTTCTTTCCTTGTGATTTCATTTTTCTT